TGGTGCCAGCCATCCTTGTGCCTTGCCTTCCATACCTCCTGGTGCTCTTGGCCATTGTGTGTCACCATCTCCCTCTCTCCCAAATAGGGGCCACCACACTCACAGTATCATGGTGGTAAGGCCCCTTTCACGGGACCACGTTTCCCCTCAATCTCCTCTCTAGGGCATGGACTGCCCGCCCTCCTGGTATGACTTTACCTGTCGGCCTTCTCCTCTCATCTGGCTGTTCCCCTACATTAAATGGTCCTCTGCCCTCTGGCATTAGACCGTTCCCTTAATGCTTGTGCCCTAGGTAAAGAAATTCGTAGTTCCAACTCTGGAAGAGACATAACCCTTTTTGCTTTTAAGTACAAGGAAGTGTTCTTAGGGGGCAGTGTGCCGTAGAGGATAGGGGACTCGATGTGTGCTAGTCAAGATCTGGGTTCAGATCCTTCCTCAGATACTTTAGCTGCAAGTCATTTAACCTGTAGGACCTGGTGACCTCCAAGGATCTTTGCAAGCTGCAAACAATTCCTTTAGGGACTTAGTACTGTGGCATGGAGAGGGAGAACTTTAGGACTGTGATCCCAGGAATAGAAAATCCTCCAGGTTCACCGGGTCAGCAGCAGCTGCCAGGAGCCATGGAAATCCTCCCATTCCTCTATGAGTGCTCAATGTCTGCCAAAAACAAATCAGACTGCCACATATAGTCTCCTGATCAGCTGCCTTGAAATTTTAGAGACAATTTGAATTTTGGTCCCATCTTTATTGACATGGGGAGGGCCATAAACCCACTGGGGAAAGCTCAGTCAGTTTCCTCACGTGTAAAATTAGGCTGCTAGGTGTTGCCGTGGTTAGAGCACTGGGCCCGGAGTCAGGAAGACCTGAGTTCAAATCCAGTTTCAGACACTTAATAGGTGTGTGTGATCCTCCTCTTCCTTCTGCAAGAATTAGGACTCAGCTCTTTGAATTCTTGGCTCCAATAGGTGACCTTTCACCTTATCTTGCTTGGAATCAGGCCTTCACCTACTTCTCTGTCATTTCTAAACTAAGTCAAAATCTGGGTTCCTTTGGCACCACCCGCCCCTCCATCTCCCTTTACCTGTTATCTTCTCTCATGTTAGGTCAGTTCCTTGAGGTCAGACTTTCATTTTTGTTTGCTTTTGTACAGTGCCTGGCACACAGGAAGCATTTATTCATTCATAAATCACTTAAATGTCCCTAAACCTCATTTTTCTCACATTCAAAAGGGGGATAATTCTTCCTGGTGTGCTTAACTCACATGATTGTGAGACTCAGATGAGAAAATGCCTATAAAGGGTATTGCAGACATTAAAGTGTGACAAATATCAATGATTATTATTATATAATTTGTTAACAAGTCTCAACATGCTAAATGTCAATGATTACTATTACATTATTTGTCAGTGAGTCTCAATATCAATTATTATTACATAATTTGTCAATGAATCTCAATATGCTAAATGTCAATGATTATTATTGCATTGTTAAAACATCTCAATATGCTCAATGTCAATTATTATTATTACATAATTTGTCAATGAGTCTCAATATGCTAAAAGTCAGCCTCAGTATGTTATAAACAGATGGATGTAGTGATTACAATTGCTGTGTTTCTGCTTCATGACTTCTTTTTCCTCTCTGTATCTCCAGATCTATAAACGGTCTATGGAGAATCTGTTGCCCACCCCGGCCAAGTCTCACTACACATTCAACCTGCGGGATTTCTCCCGGGTCATCTTGGGCTGTCTGCTCATCAACAAGGAGGTGGTGGAGAGCAAGCACACGATGGTGCGGCTCTTTGTCCACGAGGTCCTGCGTGTGTTCTACGACCGCCTGGTGGACGACTATGACCGAGCATGGCTCTTTCAGCTGATCAAGGTCGTCATAAAGGATCACTTCAAAGAGAACTTTGACACCGTCTTCTCACACCTGAGGAAGGGGAACGCCCCGGTGAGGAGATACCTGGCCGCAGAGGCACTGCCAAGCAGTGGTTTGAGCTGGTGGGGCCTTCCACAGGCACATGCCAAATTAGGAAAAAGAAAAAAGATGATCAACATCCTTTTTAGGTCCCGGACCCCTCCGGCAGCCTGGTGATGCCCACGGACCCCTCGAAATGGTGTTTGTAAACTCCCCAGATAAAATAGAGCAGATTTCAGAGGGAATCAATTATAGCAAAGAACAGTTAGCCAAGTTAAGAAATCCTGCAAGAAAGCACGGATTGGATGAAAAGTGTGTAAAAGGCTGTGTGTGGGGGTGCCATGGCACACAGAGCACTGGGCTTGGAGTCAGGAAGACCTGAGTTCAAATCTAGCCACAGACTCCTAGTAGCTGTTGTGTGACCTTGAGCAAGTCACTTCACTTCCTTAGTCTCAGTTTCCTCTGTAAAACGGGGATAATAACAGTAGTGACCTCCCAGGGATGTTGGAAGGATCAAATGAGCTGATATACATACAGCACCTTGCAAACCTTCAAGTGCAATCTAAACGTTAGCTATTACCATTTGAAAAGTAAATAATTTTGAAATTTCCTCCCTTGTGTATTCTAGGTGAAAGAGGAGGATTTAAGAAGTCTCCTGTTTGGGGATTACATGAATCCAGATCTTGAAGGAGATGAAAGAATTTACACAGAAATTCCGAATGTGAAGCATTTCAGTGACGTGGTGGAGCAGTGTTTGGAAGAATATAACCAGACTCACAAGACGAGAATGCACCTTGTCATTTTCAGGTGCGTCCATTGGGCCCGAGCCTTCGTCCCCCATCGAGCATTTATCAAGGGCCTCCTAGCTGCTGCCAGGCACCCACTGCTGTCCCTAGTCATCATTTTAGTAGGTGAAAGGATTCCTCCATTTGTTACACAGAAGTTATGGTAGCAATGAGTGATTGATGAACACACAGTAATCCGGTTCTTGTCCAGCATTGCCATGATTGAAGGACGTGCAAGTGGGGTAATTGCTGAGAATGGGCTCTTGTGATGTGTACCGAATAAATGTTTATTAATTGGTTGATAGAGGAACACTTCCGAAATACTGAATGTATTCTCTGTGGAGGGAGAGGTAGTGTGGTATAACAGACAGGACTTTGAATTTGGAGTCAATAAGACGGGTTCAAATTCCACTTTAGACACTTACTAGCTGTATGACACAAGGCAAGTTACTTAACTTTTCTAAATGTGTTTCCTTAATCTATAAAACGAAGGGGTTGGATTCAATAGTCTCTAAGGTTTCTTTCCAGTACCAGAAACAGCCAAGTGGCCCAATGGATAGAACACTGGACCTCAGGAAGACCTGAGTTTACCACCCCCTAAATTCATGAACCCCCTGAATTCTGTCTGTGGACCCCAGTTTAGAACCCTTGTTGTAGAGATAACTTTTAATTATTTTTTTTCTTTGCCTCCAAATTATCTAACCAAAATCGCTATTTAAAAGTCATACTTTTTTTTTAATCATCAGCAGTCGCCTTCTTATTGGGTTAGATAATGTAGTCTTCTAAGACACATAAACTATGGCTATGTGATAAAACAAATTCATTCCACTTGACATCCACATGTTTATTGATGATGGTTCCATGGCAGGTATGTGTTGGAACACCTATCTCGAATTTGCCGCATCCTGAAGCAGTCTGGTGGAAATGCTTTACTGGTTGGTCTGGGAGGAAGTGGCCGCCAATCTATGACCCGTCTTGCCACATCTATGGCAAAAATGCATTTGTTTCAACCAGAAATTTCCAAGAGCTATGGAATGAATGAATGGAGAGATGACCTCAAGGTAAAATGATTCTAAAGTCTTCTACCAAGAATGTTTTTCAAGAGAGCCCTCTTACCAATAAGAAAGCACATGGATTGGAAAGCCACCTGGAATAGTGATAAGTCACAAGTGAAAAACTTTTTTTATGGATAGATAGGATGTTAGAAATCACCTAGTCTAAGCTTCTCTTTTCATAGCTGAGGAAAGAGAGGAGAAAGTGGCCAAATATGGGTTGTTATTTTCTCAGTGATTAGCAGAAGCCTCACAGAGCCTTAGCTGTCTGCCCTTCAGGGATGTAGTTGGGAGTCTAAATTAATGGGCCATAAGAGATGCCGCTTCAGAGGCCCTTCTAATGCTAAGATTCGGTGATTCTGTGGATCTATGCATGGCTTGGTTTTGGTTCTTAAAATGGTAGCCAGGATGAGGAATAGCTGGGGGAGGAACAGAAAGGGATGGAAATCCCAGTAGCCTGGCCTTGCAGAAGACCCCTGGCCTTAGTGCTGATAGAAATAGGAGCATAACGCAGCAGCAGTACAACTGGTTTGTATGGTGGGGATCATGAGGGGAGGGGAGTAAGGCGTGGTCACACTTGCCCTGGATTGGTGGTCACTGCTTCAGCCCAGACGCAGGACACACAGAACTTACAACATTGGAAATGAAGGAGTGACTGTTTTGTCTGAATGGGCGGTGGGCTCCTAAGGGAGCTGCTGCTCTCAGTGAACGAGCCCAGAACTCCTACAGCCTAGCTGAGGATACTCACTTGGGGTAGATACACGGCGCAGGCAGATTGCAGCCATGTGACCCGGCTTGGGAGCCTCAGCTGCTGCTGGTTATCGACACTATCCCTCCATCTACACACTGAGGGTTATTTGAAGCAGGGTCCTTTTTTTGGGGTCTCTGTTGGTATGAGTGGGCCACAAGGAGCTGGTGGAAACTGATGTACCTGAGTTCCTTGTGGGCTGGTGGCTTGGAGCAGAGGGTGGCTTGGTCCTTGACTTTTGTCTGAGCTATAGGATTTCTAGTCCCTACCTTCCCCACCAGGAGCAGATCAGGGATGAAGCCAAGCCATTGTGTCTCCCAACTTCTTACACACTCAGCAAAGCTCGTATTTCTACACATAAACGTTCAGCACACAAAGGGGGCTTTTTTTCTTGGCCACTGTTAAAATTAGTTATCTGGAACAAAAAAGAAACTAAGGGTAAAGTTGCTGAACCATCTGTGATTTAATTTTGCAGAGCTAGTATTTGCATCCCAAGTCAGGTCACCTGACTCCTCAGATGTCAGAGATCAGGAGTGATTTACAGAACTGATTTTTATAACAAAAAAAGGGGAATAAAAAAAAGACAGAAACTTGTCTGAACATAATTTAATTGGACAAAGCAGGTCACCTGATGAGTTAGCTTCTCCCAGACTTCCTTAATCCTATGCCAGCAATCCTTTCCTGCGGGTGATGCCTTTTGTAACCAGAAAGTGTCCTGGGAAAGAGGAGCTTGTGTTCAGTAGTTAGAAGTAGCCCCCTCTCCATCATCCTTAGCAGAGTCCATTACTTAACTTGGACTCTAGCTCAAGAAAAAAAGGGGGGGCTTAACCTCTGGCTAAGGCTGGGGGACTTAACCTCTTCAGCTGCCAGAAAGGGAACTTAGCCTCTGGTCAACCCCTGCCTTCTGCCAGAAAGGGAAACCTAGCTTTTTAAAAGAGTTATCCTATGATTATTTTTATTATATCTTATTCTAAATTATCTGCTACTAAATGATAAAGTCTTCTCAGTCTATCTATTCACCAAATCTATAGGTAATCTAGACTTAAGAGATTATCTGTGTTAGTCTGGCTTAGCTGTTAGGGCTAGCTTTTCCTAAAGAAGGGAGTTTAATTCTATAATCAAACCAAAAATGAATTCAAAGTAATCAATAATAGCTGATTTCCTTGTCAGTTCCCCCCCTTTGATCCAAAGGAAGTAATTTCCTTATGTATCACTTAAGCAGAGAATCAAACTCCTTCAGGTGGTATATGCTTTTAATAATCAGTGTCCTCAAAGGTCTGAGTATGACTGCAAAGTCAGGGCTGTTCGCCCTATTTCCACTAACAAATCTTTGGCAGTGGAAAGGGAAGCAATAGCTTCCATCTCAGGTAAAGGGAATTCTTCAATCAGGATATCCTATTCTGACCCTTTTTGCTAGATCCATTCCTACTATGAGACATTTTTTGGCTATGTGGAGGGGGGCAATTTCTCCTATTAGTTTTGGTGACAACACATTTATCATCATCATCAATCATCATCATCATCATTAACACAAAAGTATGTGGACAGGAATAGGCACCCCTGATTTGGGTCTATGGGTCCCAATGAGCAGTTTATCTCATACCTGATTATGCAGTCTAGACCCACCATCATTCATTACCCAGTTATCATATGAGAGGCCTATGGGCAGTAGTGCTAGGGTTGATGGTCGTGATACAATTTCACAAAGTGACTGGGCTCTCCTACACATTAAAGACTTGTTACCTATGGCTGACATCTTGACAGAATATTCAGTCCCCTTTCGTGCAAAAGTAACAGCACACGGGAAAAGAGAACAAAATCCTTTGTGGAATTCTGCTGCTTACTAAGATTCCTTGACGTAGATGAAAAAGTTCAAAGGTCCATTCTATCCCTCAGCCCCACCCCGTGGAGTTCTGTCAGCCTGCTTTGTAATTGTAGGGAAGGCACATTCCTGATGTGCCTTTCTGGGATGAGCTACATTCTTAGGACAGCTCTGAAGAGGCCTCTCCCTTCCAGATTTTCTTCTCAGGTTCCAGGAGTATGTAGGAAAACTTAATACAAACTCAGTATAATATAGAGCTATAAGAAGATCACCACATAATTCACCTGAAACTTCAGAGAATTTCAATGATTACATCGTGAGGGCCTGAATTGGAAAATGAGTCTCTCTCTTAAAGTTATAAGATAGATGCTTCAAATAGGAAAATGGTTTCATGCTCTTCGCATTTATCAGTGCTCTTTTTACATGTAAAATTCTTAATCCATTTTTGAAAATTGTGTCACATCTTCCGCTAATTCCCCCCCTTATGAGGATATTACCATATTAGCATAATGAAAGGATGTTATAGTATAACCCATAAATTGTGAGGCCTGATGGTCTCTATTACTTGTGATTCCAATGACAATTCAAAATGATTCCTTGCTGTAGTAGTACTACTATACTAGTTTAAGTCAAAAGTCACCAGTCAGGTTTACCTCTTATGTTTATTACAATGAAAAAAAATGAGGCATCATTTTGTACTTACCCTTATTAATGGAATTTGCTGTGTGAGGAGAAAGGCAGGGACACAGTAGCATTAATTCATTCTGTTTGATTTCAGGCATGAGTCATAGGCAGCAATTGAATGATAAGATGTCACAGCCAGGCTCAGAATTCACTGGGTGGGAAAATATCTTGTATGGGAAACTGAGTCAGCAGAGTCCTTACCTTAGTCTTCCTAAGGTTGGGTTCCCTCCCCCACCCCAGTTATTTCCCAGGGACAGATATCTACTGGTGGCAGTTCACAGATGCCACTCCCAGTAAGCTGCTAATATTTTTCTTAAATGATGAATTAGTGGCCTTATGGGAAGCCAGATATTTATACCTGAAACCAAAACTTAGAAGTAGATCAAATTAAAGTCCCACAAAAGTATACTTCATTAATCACATGTTAGGGCGAGTTATAATTATTGTGTTCATGTGACAATAATAATTAACAGTATGTGTTCAAATTCATACAGTATTCATTAACAGATAAAGTTTTCATATATTCATTATAGTTGTTGGAGACAAAATTCACCATATGTATCTGTCTATATTCTAAAGTGTATCTAAATAAAAAATGTGATAGGTTCTAAATCTCCCCCATTGTCTGGTGTGTAGATAGGATAAAGGAAGGGGCCACTTTGGGTGGGCTTCAGAATACAGCTGGCCAATATCAAAACCATTATATATTCTAGAAAAAACTTTAACCTACCAAGTAAGTTGAAGGGAGCAACTCCCATGGGAAATGATGGTGAGGCAAGCTGGTTGAGTGTTGGCTAAGTTGACAAGCAGCACAAATACTACATTCTGGAGTTTTACATGAATACAGCAAACACTGGTTTACACATAGTGAAACAGTTGTTCAAAAATGTCACTTTTCTACATGCTAATTATTAACAGATAATCATTTCATGATTTTCTTAAATGACCCCAGGTGAAATTCACATATTATTTAAAATTTAACTCCTATTTCCTACTTTCACTGGGAGAGGCAAAAGGCACTTCATTATTACAATTTTTTTCAAAGACTGTTATCATATTCACTTTAATAACTCAATAGGGAAGCACCCTCTCTAATAGCATTTCACACTATCTCAGAAAAATTTTGCATAACAGTATATTCTTAAACTATTTTCCCAATTAAAAATAATTCACGTTTCTAATCATATGTCTAATATTCATTCAAACTCCACAAGAAAACTAGAAGTCTAAAGAATGTCATGTTTTGTTTTTTAAACATAACACTAAATTTCTCAAGTAAATTTCATCTATTCAGTTATATAAAATCTTAACTTATCCTTCTTAGAAAATCATCCAGGTTAATATTTTTGATGTTATTTAATCTAAAATCTAATAATAATCATAATCAACAATTATACCTTGTTCATTATAATAAGCGCCTTAGAATCATTTAATTGCTCCAACTACACTAAGAGTTAGATATTATTATTATAATTATTATCTTCTTGTACATGCAAAGACTGATGAAATTTGCTAATATAATTACAAAAGTTTCAAGTCAATCACTTTTTGATTTATAATTACTAGTGGCGGTAACTAAACCTCATTTGTCACAAGGGTCCATTATTTTTAGTTTTTTTATGAGGCAGTTGGGGTTAAGTAATTTGCCCAGGGTCACACAGCTAGTAAGTGTCAAGTGTCTGAGGCTGGATTTGAACTCAGGTCTTCCTAACTCCAGGGCCAGTGCTCCGTCTACTACAACACTTACCTGCCCCAAGGGTCCATTATTTTTTATTGATCATATCAAAAAAGAAAAAAAACAACTTACAGTTATGTTCTCAGTCCCCATAACTGCTTCTTTATTTCTTTGAATAACCCACAGAGCCAAATCAATCCCTTTTATTTTTCTAACTTAACCCTACTAATGTACCTTAAAGCATTTCTAAAAAAAAAAAAATTAGCCAAATTCCCTTAAAAAATTCTTTTGCTTAGTAAGATCAAAACCATTCCTCAAGCTTCCTTTTCCCCAAACTTCAGCCCCTTGTATTTCAAACCCTGCATCCACACGGGGTCAAAGCAGACTCCAGCCTTCGTTAAATTCTCTCCCCATTCTTTTCTCATCCTTATTGTTTACTCAAACTGTCATCTTTTCCCCCCCACTTTTGATAAAGTAGACCCTTGTTACCGTATCCAGTGCTTCTCTTACTTTCACTGACTTGCTTAATTCCTGTAGTGTGTTTCACATTCATCTTCAGATTGCCTATAGACTTAATCTTTGGCCTCTTCATTATAGCCCTTTTTATTTTTAACAGAAAAACCAATGAACTGCAATACTGGCACCCTTTTTTGGTTCCCTTTGGCTTACCAATTCACGATTTATTCCAATTTCTTTAAGGTCTATAGTTTTTATAAGTGACAATCAAATACGCAACTTAATGAACACAACTGTAAAATTTAAGGTCACTTCTAGTTCCTCATTGATGACCTTGGAGTAGAAGTCATCTCTCTATCATCTTCTCAAAGTTAACCTCTTATGTGTTACCAACAAAGCCCAACAGCAAGAGATAGAAAGAGAAATTCCATTTAAAGTTGCTGTAGACATTACAAAATATTTAGGAGTCTACCTGCTGAAACAAACCCAGGCACTCTATGAACACAATTACAAAACACTTTTCACACAAATAAAGTCAGATCTAAATAATTGGAAAAACATCAGTTGCTCATGGGTAGGCCGAGCTAATATAATAAAAATGACAATTCTACTTAATTTACTTATTCAGTGCCATACCAATCAAAGTACCAAAAATTGTTTTATAGAGCTAGAAAAAATAATAACAAGATTCATTTGGAAGAGCAAAAGGTCCAGCATATCAAGGGAACTAATGAGAAGAAATGCTAGAGAAGGTGGCCTAGCCATTCCAGATCTTAAGTTGTATTATAGAGCAGCAATCATCAAAACTACTTGGTACTGGCTAAGAAATAGAGCGGTGGATCAGTGCAATAGGTTAGGTAAGCAAGACACAGTAGTCAATGACTATAGTAGTCTACTGTTTGATAAACCCAGAGACCCCAGCTTCTGGGATAAGAACTCACTCTTTGACAAAAACTGCTGGAAAAACTGGAAAAAAGTATGGCAAAAACTAGGCACAGACCAAAATCTTACACCATACACCAAAATAAAGTCAAAATGGGTTCATGACTTAGATATAAAGGCTGATACTATAAGCAAACTGGGAAAGCAAGGAATAGTTTACCTGTCAGATTTATGGAGAACAGAAGAATTTATGACTAAACAGGAGATAGAGAACATTATGAAATGCAGAATGGATAACTTTGATTACATTAAATTGAAAAGTTTTTGCACAAACAAAGCCAATGCCACCAAGATTAGAAGGAAAGTAGAAAATTGGGAAAGAATTTTTACAACCAGTCTCTCTGATAAGGCCCTCATTTCTAAAATATACAGAGAACTAAGTCAAATGTATAAGAATACAAGTCATTCCCCAATTGATAAAGGGTCAAAGGGATATGAACAGGCAGTTTTCAGATGAAGAAATTAAAGCTACCTATAGTCATATGAAAAGATGCTCTAAATCAAAGTTAACCTCTTTTATTCTGGAAAAGTATTCATCCACCTGTTTCATGGCCAAGGTCCAACTATGGCCCAGGAATGTCACAGATATTGTTATCTTAAAGGGTCTCTGCTATTCCTCTCACAACAATAAGATATTATTACCATTTACTTTATATGCACTCTAAATGAAATTCTGAAGGTTTTTTTTTATATTAAAATGTCTTCCATTCTCAATATATAGTTTAATAGAATTCTATAAAAGCAGCTTCCATTTTGGTGCTATTGACTGTGAATGACCTTCATTCCCAATTGCTTCTTCCTTTTACAAAGTTTTCATATTTTCCAATACTGTATCAGCTTCTTTAATTTTCTAGTGATTTTCAATTAACAGATATTCTTATCACACTAATTTAACTTTGAGTTCATTTAAATGAAATATAGCTGTATAATTACTAATGATAATAATTTAAGAATCTCAGCTTTCACAAGGGTCATTCAGCTGTTAAGATTTCAAATTTCAGGGCGCAGTATTATCAGTGCACTTATGCTTTAATTTATATTTGACAACAAGGCAAGAAACATCCTGAAATAATTTTCAGATTCTTTTGTCTCAAAATAATTCCCCTACTCCTTCTCCTCATTCTTCTTCTCCACTAATATTTGTGAGCCATAAATTCCTTTTAATTTGATCTTTTGTATTCTGAGCACCCTCTATTAGGTGTGTATATACTTAATTCACTCCTATACTTTCCTATAATACTATATTCTTGTTCAATCCTATCTTCAATAATTCTTACCCTAACCAATTATAGCCTTCCTTATTATAGTTCTACTAAAATACAGTTCTGAACTTATTTTCACTTCCACTGATTTCAACACAATTTTGACTATGTTTCTAATTCCCCTCAACAATTTATTATAGTTTATTATTTCACCTACTTTCAGCAGTTTCATGATTTCAAAACAAATTCCTTCAAGTTGGTTGCTTAAAAGTAGCAAACAACAGAAGGGTAAATCAATTCCAACTCTATTTACTTTTATTCTTTTGGAATCTGAAGATGGCCTAAAGTTTTCCTGTTCTGCCTTCTAATAATAAAAGTTCATACTTCCTTCCTCTAATAAATTTGTCCCAACTTTAAGTACAGTTTTAAAGTATACCTTTAATCTACACTAAAGTTAAAACCAATTTCACAGAGTGATTCTCAAAACTTCAGATTCAGAGACTGACTGACTGAAGCTGCCTAGGGCTTAGCAAATGTGTTTTTTTTTTCAATTCTGAATTGTGAAATTTTTTAAGTTCACAGATGTTTTGTTCTAATTTCTCCTGTGCCAATTCCCTAAGTTTTTCTTATTTTAACACTTCTCTGAATTTTACAGAATTTCTGTTTCACGAAATCTCTCCTGAATTGATTCTATGATTAATAAAACAGTTCTTAAAATTCAAAATACAGCTTTAAACTCAACCTCTAGTAATTTTAAAATTCCTTTTATGGAATAACTGATCTGTCAATTTTTGTTTAGAATTTTCCAATAAAGAGTAACAAATTTAGTCTATTATTATTATTATTATTATTATTATTATTATTGTTATTGTTTTATCTGTCTTTCATCCTTGTAACCTCCAAGGTGGCCAGTATTAGAAACAGAGTGAGAAAAGAGAGACTTGTCTTTTCTGAAGACTTCTTTTTGGAAAGTTTTCCCTTTTTTTGCAGTCGTTTCCTGATGGTTTATTAGACCACAGGAAAAAGCATAGAACAAAACAACTGCTTGGGAGTGCCTGCCAGCATTTATTAGCACAAAGCCCAGAGAAGACAGCACAAATTTTCAATTTTCTTAAAGATTTTCCTAACTGTAGAAGGTCCCTTTCTATGTGAAGCAAGGAACCCACAATTCCTAAACTTGGTTCTATAATTAACAAATGTACACACATAGAACATATAATAAGACTTGATGCAACATTAAATCAGGCCTGAATTTCTAAGTTTTCTCTAGGAGATTTTGAAATTAGGATTTTACCTGTCTCTTCTATTAAGTATACAATTTATGGCAGTCCTATGGCTGGAGTCCTGCTGTCAGCCTAAGATTAATTCTTCTGTTTACTGTTTGTCTTAATGTTTTTAATCTTATCAGTTAGAAAATGTAATTTAGTAACAATGTCAAATTGCTTTAGTCTAATTTGTTATTTGGGTTCACCCATGTAAAGTGCACTTTGTATATACATAGATGCATGCACACACACACACACACACACACACACACACATTTAAGACAATTTAGCAAAGTTTTCCTTCCTGTTCTCTTTTTTTTTTTAAGTTCAAGTTTATTTAGAACAAGTTCCCAATAGAGAATTCTACTTCTTTTAGGTTCTCTTGATAAAACACATTAAAAAAAAGAGGATTTTTAAAAGAAAAATGAAATGCCTGTTTTACTTCTTAAAGGGTTTTTTTTTCTTTAAAAACTTTTCTTCACCAGGGAATAATCTTCTGGTAAAGAGCATTTTCTAAAACAAAAATACCCTTTCTTACCCACTAATGTGGAGGATTCCCCCCCCCAAAAAAAAGCAACACTTTTTCTTCTCCATAGTGGAGACTGCCTTCAACTTGAAAGAATCTTAGAAATTTGCACTTAATTTCTGCAGAGTAAAAAATTTGGTAGTGTTGGTGGTTTCCTCCTTAAAGTAGAGGCTTACCTTAGCTTGGAAGAATTTTGATTCTGGGCTGAGGAGAGATGGCCCTCGGAGAAGAAGTCCCTCAGTGACCAGAGAGCTCTCAGGGAGATTCCTTGGAAAGGACCACTTATGGAAGTCTGGAGTCAATTTCATAGCTCCCATCTGGGATGCCAACTGTAAAAATTAATTATCTGAAATAAAAAAGAAAACTGAGGACAAAGTTACCCAGCCGTCTGTGATGTAAATTGCAAAGCTAGTATTTGCATACCAAATTAGGTTCCCTGACTCCTCAGAGGTCAGAGACCAGGAGTGATTTACAGAGCTGATTTTTGTAACAAAGACAGAAACTTGAACGTAATTCAATTAGACAAGGGAGGTCACCTGAGTTAGCTTCTCCCAGACTTCCTTAATCCTATGCCAGAAGTCCTTTCCTGCATGTGGTACCTTTTGTAACCAGAAAGTGTCCTGGGATAAAGGACTTTGTGGTCGATAGTTAGCAGTACCCTTTCCCCCCCATCATCCTCAGCAGAGTCCTTTACTCAACTTGGACTCTAGCTCAAGAGAAAAAAGGGAGCTTGGAAAGAGGAGCTTAACCTCTGGCTAACCTTTCTCCAGCTGCTAGAAAGGGGAATTTAGCCTCTGGTCAGTCCCCCCTTTCTGCTAAAAAGGGTAATTTAGCCTTTTGAAAAACCTTACAGTCTTACAGTTATTTTGTTCTTCTAAGTTATCTGCTACTAAATGATAAGGTTCTCAATCTATCTATTCACTACACCTATAGGTAATCCAGACTTAAGAGTCTATCTATGTTAGTCTGGCTCAGCTGTTAGGGCTGGCTTTTCCTAAAGAAGAGATTTTAATCTTATAATCAATAATAGCTGATTTCCTTGTCACCATTCTATAACTAGGAATGTAGCTGCTGTGATATCTGAGCCACTATGTCACCTTGAGAAAGGTCTGTTAGGGTCTGATGATGATGATGATGATGATGATGGTATGAGTACTTAGCCTCCCTGGGTCTTAGTTTCCTCCTCTATAAAATGAGGACATTGGATTAGATGACAGTTGAGGTCCCTTCCGGCTTTAACTCTATGGTCCTTCGTATTGATGGTAGAAAGTGAGGGTGGAGGGAAAGAACTCATGGGCTGATCACACACTCCAACTGGATCATGCTTTCCTTTCCTTTTTTTTTTTTTTGATCATGCTTTCTGAGTTCCTTTTTTGCTCTTCAGAACCTGCTGAGAAGTGCAGGGATGAAGGGCTTGAAGACAGTGTTCCTCATCACAGACACGCAAATCAAGGAGGAAGCGTTTTTAGAGGATGTTGATAGTGTACTTAACACTGGAGAAGTCCCAAACATTTTTGCAGCGGATGAAAAACAGGAAGTGATGGAGGTATGGATGGCAGGTTTTCGTATCCTGATGAATTGTGGTCTCTGGAGAGTTATTTTGTGAATTGGAAAGTGGATAAATGAATTTATTGTAGGTCTTAACTTAGTTTAAAAGTCATCCTAAGACAGGGTTTCTTAACCTTAAGGTCATGAACCCCTTTGATACCCTGGTGAAGTCTATAAAATAAAATATGTAGGACTGCTAAGAAGACTAATTATATTAAAATAATTATCAAAAATTTTTTAAAAAGCAAACAAATGGAACCTAGATCAAGCTCTACTCTAAGACACGATACTAAGCCTGACATTTTGTTTGTGATAGAAAATTCATCTCATTTCTTTAACCTTGTTTATTAGGTCTTATGAGTGGGAAAAGATCTATTTCAGTTATTTTATGGTTATATGGACAGGAGAAAAGGTAAGTGTTGAAATCTCCTAGACCAGTTTAGGGCGGGGGTGTCAAAAATGTGGCCTGTGGGCTGCATGTGGCCCACAGCATTCTCATGTGGGCCAAACCAGATTTAAATGTATTCAGGACATAAATAAGTAAAAATACAATAAAACATGGATAACATTACATTTCTAAGCGAAGTCATAGGCAGTCTGCAGGGATCCTTTTGTACAGATTAGTGGCACCCTTTCTATTAGAGTTTGACACCCATGGCCCGTGGTGCATGTTGGCTTTCACTGGTGCCTGGCAAAGGGCTGGACTCAGGTCCCTAAGGTCCTTTATCTACATCTGGGCTCCTTTGATCCTATGATATCATCATAAACTAATACTGGAGAACTGCAAGTATTGCTCTGATGGAATGAATACCATCCTTCAAAGTGGCCCCAACAATTCATGTGGGATGCTGGCTTCCACTGAGCTCCTGTTCTGATCTAAATGAGATGGTATCAGTCAGTGAACAAGCATTGATTAAACACCTACTGTGTGCCAGAGGCTGCCTTAGGCTTTGGGGATAACAAGACAAAAGTGAAAGCTCCTGCCTTCAAGGAGCTTATATTCTGTCATAGGAAGTAGCAGGTCACACACAGCACAGAATCTGGGAGAAGGAAGGACCTTGGCCACCATCATCTCATCCAACCCATACCTGAAAGGAACACCCACATGACGTACTTGACAAGCAGTCTGCCAGCCTCTTCTCAAAGGCTTTCAAGAAGAGCGGACTCGCTGTGTCTCAGGGCCTTCCATCATCCCATCTGCTTTCCTCTGCAGATGCTCTAGCTAATCCATCCTTTCTTAAACTGTGGTGCCCAGAATGGAATGAGGGCTGATGAGTACAGGGGACAGAGGGGCCGTCTCCTCTCTGTTCCTACAAACTCTCGATAAAAATATGCAAATACATGCCAAATATAGAGAAGGGACATACAGGGTGATATAGCTAGCAAAGGTCTCAGGGGTAGGGGCTGAGCTTTGAGTTACAGCTTTGTGTTAACCTTGGCCAGCCCCTGGATCATTCCCCAGATGTCTGAGATTAAGAGTAGAAAGTAACGAGTAATCACAGGGAACAGTGAGCTCATGGTCCCAGTGAGACTCTGCCTACTTTTGCGGATGTGAAGTAGAGCATGGGGGGCTTCTAGGTGGCACATGTGAGAACCACATAAAACCCATCTAGAATGTATCTCCTTTCTGCTCCTGTAACACCTGTGGTTGCTATTGGATTAATAATTTATAAAACTATGAAATGGAGGTAGGCATGCCTGGTTCTTTGGGTACTTTCTGGGAAAGACCACAATGGCAGGGGAAAGTGAGGCTGCAATCACACTTTAATTAGGCTCAGAGAATGTAGGGTCACAGAAGATACAGAGGCAAGCATTGAAAAGGATGCAAAGGCACATGGCGTGGGGATGTGGGGTGAGGTGGTAGAACAAGGAAGGGAGTGATGGGAAAGAGGATGAGGAAGGGCAGAATCACAGAGAGTCACTCACATAACCATGCATTAGAGTTGGGAACACTCAGCAACATGGACCCTTTGGAGACGGAAGGAGGGAAGGAGTTTGGGGTCTCCTTTTTACAGGGCTTTTTGGGGGAACAGACTCTTATCTGTGCCAACCTTGGGATTAGCTCATTAACATATCCAAGTCATTTCAAATTTGTCGGTTAAGTTTTAAAATTAACATGTCCACATCATCTCAGAATTATCAGCACCATTTGTGATCTGCTGGTCTTCTGGAATTTGTCTGAGATATACATGTCACAGGACCAGAAGGCCCTGATGGTAGCATCTGGATGAGTACCCTGATTCAGCATATATTACCAAGATGTGATTTTTGGTTAATATATGTTGTAATTTGTAAATTATGCTCCTTTGATCTTTGGGACGGTTTGTGTGGGACTTCTAGGTTTCCCTTGCACTCTTACTTTTTGCTATTGTCCCTTTATGATGGCTACTTACTATACTGACTAGGAGTGGGGGAGAAGGTAATCAGGGGTCCAGAACAAGATAGAGTTTTAACATCCTGGTGTTCAATTCATGTAGGATGTGCCTATATGGAGAAATCTGATTTGGTCGTAAATTGAGGCAGACGTCAGACATGGTGAATGTGGTTTCCCTGCTGAAAAGCATTCTGGTATTCTGCATGCAGGCCAGTGCCAAAAAGGAAGTGGAAGGGGGGCAGCCTCCAGCCAGAGAGGATGCAAAAGTGCAGAATAATTAGATGAGCTGATTGACAGGTTTAAATTCAGCAAGTTTTTTAAAATAGTTACTGTGTGAAGCAGCCCAGAGTCTCAAAGACCAGAATTCATTTCTCGCCTCTTGATATCTGCTTGATGGTGCTCTGATTGTCAGGATGCGAAGGTGCGGAGAGGGTGCTGACCTTTGTGGGTGGGGGGAGTTTTTCATCCACAAGCTCCTGATGCCACTGAAATTGCAGGTCCAGGTCTTCTCCCCAGCCTATTCTGTGCTAGGCACCAGGACTGCCAAGGGAGAGCCTCGTAATGGGTCTTTAGGCAAGTTAGACTTAAGTGAATTGTCTTCAGATGATTTTGTTGTGGGTGAATTGAACAAGTAAAAGAGAAATTCAATTTGGGCATGTTGGAAATTCCTCTTCTATTTTATCTTCTATATTTATTGACCATTGTTAGTGTGTTGGGCACCAATGGAAACAAAAAATAGATTTGCTTTTCTTTGTCTACTCATTGCTCAGCAACATGCCTGGCATGTAGCATGACTGATGCATAGAATCATGGGATTAGAAATTACATTGAGAGCTAAGACCATAAGCAGGCCGCATCTCTGAGGTAAACGTAGAGAATGTCCAATTTCTGAGGATGTTTAGAGAAAGAATGATGAAAATGTTCCTTGAACACAGATTTCAACTTTTAATAATCCTTTCCATTCTGTGCCCAAAGGACTATAAAATTCTGCATACCCTTTGACCCAACAATAGTACTTCTAGGTCTGTATTCAAAATGATCATATAAATGGGAAAAGGACCCACATGTACAAAAATATTGATAGCAGCTCTTTTTGTGTGGCAAAGAATTGGAAGTTGAGAGGATGCCCATCCATTGGGGAATGGCTGAAGAAGTTGTGGTATATGAATGTAATGGAATACTATTGTGCTGTAAGAAATGATGAGCAGGCAGACTTCAGAAAAACCTGGACTTACATGAACTGATGCTGAGTGAAATGAGCAGAACCAGGAGAACGTACACAGTAACAGCCGCATTGTGTGATGACTGACTTTGAGAGACTTGGCTCTTCTCAGCAGTGCAAGGGATCTAAGACAGCTCCAAAAGACTCATTATGGAAAATGCTACCCACATCCAGAGAAAGGACTATGGCGTCTGAATGCATATGGAAGGATAGTAATTGCTCTTCTTTTCTTGTTTTGCTTTATTGCTTCATTCTCATGGTTCCTCTCATCAGTTCTAATTCTTTACATCATGACTAATGGGAAAATATGCTTAATGTGAATGGTTAAGTAGAGCCTGTATCAGATTGCACACTGTCTTGGGGAGGAAGGAGGAGAGGGAGGGGGAGAAAATTTAAAACTCAAAATTTTATGAAAGTGAATATTGAAAACTAAAAATAAATGAATTAGTTATTAAAAAATT